AAGCGATTGCAAAGACCATGGCCTGTATCAGGCGCACCTTAGTCTCCAGAGAGACACTGTTGCTCCTGAGTACCTTTGAGAGGTCCCTAACAGTGAGAAAGAAAGTGAAAAATATCTCCTCCCTTGAAATTTATAACCTCCCTGAAACTAAATGGAGAGTCAGTATGCTCTGAGTTGGGCTAACTGGACACAATCAACCTGAGGTTTTGTTCTATTGTGGGTTTTTTGTTTGTGTTTGGTTGTTTAGTTCTTTCTACTTTTCCTAGTTCAAGAGTTTATGCAAACCTAAGCTTGTTGTTCATTAGGAAAAAGTCTAATATCTTTGTTTTAACTCTCTAAGTTCATGGAGAAAGTAAGTCAAACAATACGCAAAGCAAATGCACAGACAAGATTGCTTTAAGTTGTTGTTATGTGCCATTAAGTCACCTGTGACTCATAGTGATCCAATACACAATAGCTCTGAAATCTGCTCTATCCTGAGCCAGTCTCACTCTCTCTCTGACACACTAGCCCTTTACCCCGGTTACTGTCTCTAACAACTACTCCCATTAACCCGGTTACGGTGTCATTTCATGTCATCCAGGGTCTTCCTCTCCTGCACTGTTCCTCCATCCTTCCAAGCATGATGTCCTCCAAGGCAACATGCCCCAGGTGAAATGAAGCTTCAATATCCTTGCCTTCAAGGAACAACCTGATTTCACCTTCTTCAAGTTAAACTTGTTTGTTCTCTTGTCAGTCCATGGTATGTTCAATACTCTTCTCCAGCACCACAATTCAATGGCATCAATTCTTCTGTTATCTTTGGTCATTGTCTAGAAATAACAACAACAACAACAACAACAACAACCCATTTTGTCATTCCATTTACTTGGTTGTTTTCTATGCAAAGCAAGTTGATACAGTGAAAACACTTAAAACTTTGAATCCCTTGTCATAGGAAAGCTAAAGAATCTCTCTTTCTTTGTTGCTGCAGAGGAACCAAGCCATAAACATGAAGAAAGACCAGCTCCCTTGGCTGTTTCCTGCCTTTCTTTTGCAGGTCTTTGGACAGATGCCATTTTACACTGTTGAAAATTCACAGTGGAGCTTATGGCCAGAAATACCAGATAATTTGGTGAGTAAAAGCCTTGAATGGTGGGTGGAAAGTTTGGGAAAAGGAAAAGGGTATTAAAATTTGAAATGTGGATTGAGATAGAATTCAATGGAGGGACAGAGAAGGCCTGGTGGATGATTCTAAAAGAAAGTGGATAGAACAAATATTATTTCCAGGTGAACATTTCTCCTTTTTAATATTTTTGCCTCTTGGGCAAATGATCGCTGCTGAATTATTTATCTTATGTTCTAGTCCATTGTCAACAAAAGGGATACATCTCTCTGATCCACTATAATTCTTGGGTAGTTGATGTTTGAAGCCCTAAATTGAGACAAATTTTGAGGCTACAACTGAGTTCAGCAAGGATTTAGTAATTGATTGGCAATGTCTGCCATGGGTGTGGGCTAGGAAGATATAGTCCATGTGCCATAGATTTATCATCATTTGCTATGTTAGACCAAGGTAATATACTGTATTTACTAATGACTATATACACATAACAACAACAACAACAACAAACATTTTCCCCCTTATCTCTCTTTTGTATTTTGGTCTACTGTATTACTCTTCCCCCCCCCCTTTCCCTTCTCATTCTTCTTTCCATTGTGAGGTCATCATTACTGTATTATACAGTAGAGTCAGAACCAACCCATAGCTGACCCTCCAGTGGGTTTTAGAGGCAGTTAATTGCACAGGAGGAGATTGTCCAACGTTCTCCTGTGGAATAGCTGGTGGTCTCAAACCGCATACCTTTGGGATTGCAAAGCAGCTTTTTGCCACAGGCCACCAGAGCTCCCTTTCCACTGTGTAGAGCTTACAATCACCATTGGCTTTCAAATGTACTACTGGAGGGAGGCCAGAAAGATTGCCTACTCACAGCAAACTTTTGTTCTTCTCCTGGAACTGGTGAACTAAGAAAGACATCCCACTCTGCTTATTATATTTGACTTTCCAAGGAGAAGCCTGAATTATGTCATTTTTATTTTTTCCCTCCCTCCTCTGATGGCTCAAATTCTAAATATCCCATATACTAAATGATGTTTTCTGTGAATACTTATGTGGTTGTACATATTGTGCTGCTTATATGTATGGATTGGGGGTTTGTGAGAAATTATGTTTACTAAGAAGCTAGCTGAACTGAATTTTTAGCTGATACTGTGGATAGAAATCTCTTCTACTTCTCTTTCCGCCAATTCTTAGGTCATTTTGAGAAATAAAGAAGAACTGAAGAAAGAAAAAGAGCCTAAACTCTCTTCTTTCCTAGCAATCCATGTGATTGCTTCCTTTTTGGAACTTCATCACAAGTACCCCTTTTCTCAGATTCAATTTTTAATTACTATTTCCTCTCCTCCAGGGCATACTATGCAAGATTATTAGCCACTCCCACATAAATTTAATTTCTTAGTTCCATATCTCTGTTTCATTCCTATTCTGTTTGGACTGTAGATTACCAAGTACAAAGGATTACTGACCTGGTTGGAAAAGTACAGGTTACCTTTCTTCTGTAAAACCAACTTATGTTTCCAGTACATTCTTTGTCAGGAGCTTGTCAACTTCATTAAATCCCCAGAGGGAGGTAAGCGCGCGCACGTGTGTGTGTGTGTGTGTGTGTGTGTGTGTGTGTGTTGGGGGAGGCGTTGGTGTTCGAGGAAGAATGGAAACCCAGGGTCATAACAGTCACTGTGTCTATCAGTCCTACTATAAAGAACAAATGATTGCTCTTACAGTCTTAGACATACTGGTAACCCAGTCTGTATAATGGGAATAAGCAAAAATCTTATGCTGAAAAATGGGAATTGCTGTTCATTTCCTTTGAGCTGATTCCAACTCATGTCAAACTCATGTATGCTGAATTAAACTATTCCAAAGAGTTTTCAACTGATTTCAAGCAACTATAAAACTCCTGCTGAACATAAATGTAAGCCTCAAAATTCTTCTTAATATGTTGCTTCAAACATCTGCTATCCTAAGGCTGTGATCTTTTGTAAGCAGATAACCCAAACTCTCTTCTAAGGTGCCTTCTGGTGGATTCAAACCACCAACCTTTCGGCTGGCAGTTGAGTGCTTAAGTGTTTGTGCCACTCAGGAACTCCTGCTGGGTGAAAAAATGGGTATCTACAGCAATTAAGTAAAGTCTCTGGGTGGTGTAAATGGTTAACATGTTCTGCTGTTAACCAAAGGTTGGCAATTCAAGTCCACTTAGACATGACTGAGTAGAAAGGGCTTGTGAACGACTTAGAAATTAAAAAAAAGAAAACCTAGCCCCTGAAAGCCTTATGGCAAATAGCTCTACTGACACCATGGGTTCTCCATGATGCAGAATTCTCTTGATGGCAAATGGTTTATAAAGCAATAAAGAAGTAATAGATGTGCTGGGCTATTTATCTAACTGCAGCCAGAAATGAAAATGTTATTTCTGTAGAATATGATAAAATAGCCTAAAATATATACAAAAGTCTATGAATCTGGCTATCTTTACTGCTAGCATGTTGGGATGAGCTGCCATAGTTTTCCACTCAACTACCAAAATTGTCTCCCTGATTTACTCCTGTTCTCCGGCTCACACAATGAGTCTTCTAAACCATAAGTCAGATCACGTCACTCCTATGTGCAATACCTCACCCAATGTTTCCTGATCCAGAGTGAACCCCAGTGGCACCATGAGGGTCTAGACACCTGACCTCATTTCTTCTCTGATCTCATCTCCTCCCCATCTGTCCCTCACCCATTCCATCTGGCCATGTGATGGCCTCCTTGATGGTCCACAAACATTCCCATCTTTGCCCTGGCTGTTCCTTATGCCTGGAATATTTCCCTTCAGATATTCACATGGATGGATACTTTTTTTTTATTATTTTTTTTGGATGGATACTTTTTTCACCTCTTAAATTCATTATTCACATCTCACCTTCTTAATAAATTCTACTGTAGTAATATAATTTTATAACATGTCCACTCACCAAAGCCCTGTCTCAAACACTCCCAACCCTCCTTAACTTATTCTACTTTTTGTTTCTTAACACATATAATCTTTACATTGAATGTATTATGTACTTATTTAAATTTAATTTTATTTTTGTTTATTTCTTTCATTAGAATATAAACTCCTTGAAGGCAGGGATTTTTGTTCTGTTTGCTAATGTATTTCGAGTACGTAGAATAGTACTTAGCACTCAGTAGGCATGTAATAAATATTTCTGAAAGAGAGAATGAATACAATTTCCAACCAGGGTTAATTTGGTGACCTGATTTAGCCAAAGGAAACAAAGTATATCCCAGTGCAGAGGTTCAGGAACATCTATGGACTAAAATTGAAGTTATTTCTATTTTTACCTTTCTCCTTTCATACATGTATTAGGAAAATTGGATTAAATTAATTCAAAGGGCAGGAAGGTTGACCAATGCGGACTGAAGAAGAGAGGGATTCTGGGTTGGAGGGCGTTTCTGAGTTGTGGATTGAATATATGCTTGTGTGCCCTTAAAGTGCCGTCTGACTTGATGTCTGACATCTGCTTGCTAGCCTCAACAGTATCAAGACCTCACATTATTAAGACCCAACTCATCTAACTAACTGGCATTTTTCCTATTACACTGAGAAAATGAGGGATGGCTGTGTGCAAGGCTGAGAGAAGGACCAGTGGAAAAGCTCATTATCTCTCTCTTAACTATGGACTTTTCCTGGCAGTCACAATGATGCAATGGAAAAAGGCAGACCAATGGCTACTTCAGAAATGTATTGGAGGGGTCCGGGGAATGAGACGCTTCTGTGCCTACCTTAAGAGCAGTGCAGGTGAGTTCTTGGAGTTGTCCCTGGAATCTGTACACATTAATAGTTTCTGAGATGCCTCAGAGCTCTGATTGGTGGTTCCATGCATCTTTGGTGTATACAGAGCCCCTGAATAGTATGAAAGATTTGCACACTCTACTGCTAACCTGAAAAGTTGAAGGTTAGAGTCCTTCCACAGGTACTTCAAAAGAAAGGCTTGGTTGCCTACTTCCCCCAAACTCAGCCACTTGAGAACTATTTGGAACACGGTTCTCTGACATAGTCAGAGTCAATTTGATGGTAACAGGATTTTATAGTGACTATAAAAATGCTTTTAAACCAAGATGGATAAAAATGTTTGAAAACTGAGGCCAATTGTGTAGATTAGGACATTCATTACCTGTAGGAAGGTAATGGGTCCTCTTAATTTATATTTGAATTCTATTTATTAATACTATTGGATCCCTTCAAAAGCAGGTGGTTTGAACACACCAGCTGTTCCAAGGTAGAAAATTTGGTACTTTTCTCCCATATGATTTAAAGACTCTGAAAACCAGTTAGAAGGTCAGCTATGAGTTGGTTTCAACTCCACAGGACGTAAAAATAACAATTAGCCCCAAAAGAACTCTGGTACCTTAATCTGTAGGGTGTTCACACTGCTAACCAAAATGCTATACCTTTGACAATTAGAAAGATGGCCAGTCTCCTCCTTTTACTATTACCAGCTTCAAAATGTCCACATAGGATGACTATGATTCAGAATTAACTCAATAGCTATGTGTTAGGTGGGGTTCAGAATGTTGGTGCTATAGTGTGTTGCATGTTGGACTACTAACTAAAAGATCTGTGGCTCAGGTCCACAAGTAACTCCATGAGAGAAAGATGAAGACGTCTGCTCTTGTTATCACAGCCTCAGAAACCTGATAAAGGGGTTCCATGGGTTGGCATGGATTAAACAGCAATGGGGCTTGAGTTATGTGGCAGGCAAGCCCCTGGCTCATAAATCTGCCACTGTATTGAGTAAAATGAAGACGAAGAACAAACAAATCAATTTCACTTGCAAAGTGCCGGCAAGTACTAGAGGTATCGCTCTGCTGCCCACTCTATTGCATGCATGAATAGGATATTGTTGCTAGGAGATGACACGGGATGACACTCCAGTAATTTAAAGCTTCATCCAACATGAGTCCTCACTTAAGGATAAAATTCTGGTCCTATTAGGGAACAGAAAGAGAAGAACTAGACAGACTGTATCTGTAAATTAACTACTCAGATATAGTCTTGAAAAGTTTAGAAATTAGAAATGCAGTGTTTGGCACTTTTATGTTCCAGGAGCTAGGAAATATTTTCTTTACTCTGATCTTCATTACTTTATTCTTTTCATTTCTTTTTTATCTTTTTTGGGGGGGGCTGGAGACAAAAATTAAATGTCACATGTTCACTTTGTTGTTGTTATGTACCGTCAAGTCACTTGTGACTCGTAGCGACCCTATGTACAACAGCCCTAAACTCTGCTCTGTCCTGTGCCAGTCGCACTGTCTCTGACACTCCCATTCTGATTACCCCAGTCACTGAATCAATCCACCTCATAGAGGGCCTTCCCCTCCTGCGCTGTCCCTCCACCCTCCCAAGCATGATGTCCTTCTGCAAGGAC